TTTACTGCTCAGCACGCACTCTACAGTCAGCTGGTCATTTTTCTCTTCTTAACACTATCAATCTTACCCTCGTATAGGGGACTTTTCCCCTCCTAAATGTATAAAAGTCGGTAGGATGTACATACTATACCACCTTCCTTCACACAGTTTGCAACGATATCATCTAGTCACTGCATTCCATTCCAGATCTGTTGTGGTGTGGACAGATACAAACGTTTGGCAGATTTCGCTAGTTTTTCTTTGCATACTTCCAAAAGTATAACACCGGCGTCTGTGGTGTAGCTATTAGGCGCATCGCTGTTGCTCTCAGGAGACTCGAGTTTCATTCCCGAGTGGGAAGAATTTTTTTTCAAAATATTTTGATCTTTCTGCTGGGATGCCTCTTTGCCCGGATTGGCTCGGACAAGCAGGGTCGGAAACTCGTGTCCTAAATGATTAAAATTTTGTCGATGGGGGCCTAAAACACCTACATGAAATTTTTAAAAAGCGGCAGATAACTTTTCAACTCTTACCTGATTTCAGGTATGACAATTGTTCCACTTGATTAGACACTTTCTTAGTATAACTCCATTCTTTACTGGTGTATCACTTGTTTTGTCACCGTAAAAGAAAAATGTGTGCGTCTATGGTGTGATGGTTAAGCACATCGCCCTCTGTTGCAGAATACTTGAGTTCTATTCTCAGAGAGGGAGGGTATGTTTAAGACAAAAAAGCTATCTCCGGCAGTCTGCCAGGACGTTGTATCTCTTCTTGCTCACGTTGACCCTGCCAGGGTGTCGTCGAGGTAGCACGCCTTCTAAATAATCTATTGTGTGTAGGGGAGCGAATGTGTATAAGTTTTACGCTCCTACTTGCCATGCTGTAATGTTATGTAAGAGGCCGTACCTCCGAATTTGACACTGTCCTCTCCAGGGGCGAAGGCTGACTTGTTTGACAGGGTAATCAAAGTGAAACGGGACCAGATATGGCCTGGAGATATTATTTTCACACAAGAATCTTACTCAAGGTGGCGAGTTGTGAATTGGGAATGAAAACAAATCCGGAATTCATATTGTATGTTCAAGCGCCAAAATAATCGGGAAAGTATTTCATTAAATATTTATTTTAACTAACCTTAAATTTAACTTTAGATTTGAATACACGAACGCCAAGGAAAGAAGCAGAGATGTCAGTACTAGATCTATATGTTATAGATCTACCCGTGAGTCTAACTC